ATTTAAATTTCAAGCTACATTCAGTCACTGAGTCACCAGCCAATCGTACCGGCGCCTACGCCAGGAGAGAAGCTGATTGGCTCGATGGACATTGTGTTAGACGCGTTTATTGTCCTAAATATGTTGCACCCACCCACTTCTGCTTTCGTGCACTTCTTGTCGTGTTCTTCCTTGGGGGCTCACACGAGACGAACTTAGGCGGTGACACCTCGGCCTTGGCAACCGTTACAACAGTAATTGCCAATTTATTTTTGTTCTTTTTAATTTGTAGCATTGGTGCTTCGAAAATCAACAAATCTCCCTCCTGCTGATCGACGAATTAATTCGCACCATATTTCCCTCCTACGGTTCTTACTCGGAGTTGGCGTGGGAGTATGCCATACTGATCCTCATTGAGATTCTGTCTATTGTGGACTCGCAGCGTATGGCTAGGTTGCAGTACACATTCTACGGTGAGTCCAGCCTAGTTAAATGCTGTCATCTCGCCCGGCAGCACTCCAGCTCTGCTCTTATTAAGGACGGACTTTTTTGTGCTAAACTCTGTCTATCTTTTTATTATTGTTATCTCAGACGACAAGTACAATGTCTTGAACTTTATCGCCTCCTCTGATCCTATCCGAATGGATACTCCTTCTATGCACCTTATGGACGCCTTGACAAACTTCTTTCTTCAATCGGAGCACATGCAGCATTTCATTTTGGGGACGCCCAGTTTGCGAAGCAAGTTCTACAAGGTGAGGCGACGAGTTTGCCTCTGTTATGTCTATCTTCTCTCTTTATTATTTTCCTGACGCCCAAGGGGTCTCATTTTTACAAGTGCAGGCATCGTAAACGGTATTCGCTCGTCTCCTTTCCACTTCTCTTTACTTTCAGCCCTCAGCCCCTTACAGTTTTGCTTTTATGTATAATTCGTCAACAGGCTCGTTAAGACTCCTGTACTTTTCTCCACTTTTTTAGCTGATCGACCATGTGCTGCGCACACTGCCCTCCCAGCATTACACGTCTGCGTACCGCACTTCTGCCAAAGTTGTAGCCTACACAAAGGCTCTGCAGGAGGCCCATGCTTTGATTGTGTCTTCTGTAAGTCCTTTCAATTGGCTTGCTGTCAGTACTGTTCGCTGACTACTCGGCTTTTAAATTTCTATGCAGTACATAGAGCTATTTTTGGGGGGCTACCTTTACGATTTCCGTTTTTTCTTACACGTCAGAAAGATGGCTCCATTACACGAACTGTGCCATCGTCGATTGACAGATTGGTGGATTGACACTCACTGATCAGTTACGGGACTCGTTTGTTAAGTTGTGCCTTGGGACTCACGCTTGAGGCATACCAGCAGCCACACAGCGGCTACACAGAATGCCATTACCGCTAATGCCAGAAAGTCTAGACTAGGATGACGGAACGTGGAATTTATCATTTCTGGTTAGGAAGCCTTCGTCAGCCTGCCATACTCAGGTCCGCGCTGGCCACAGCTGTGCCTGAAAGCCACGTTATTTGCTCATCAATTGGCATTAAGTCCAATGCTCTACCAAATAAAGCCCCGTGCTCGTTAGTTTATGAGTTATAATTGGCAATGCTAGCTATTAAGAAGAAAAATTATCTTCAAAATTGAACAATACAACACTCTACAGAAGATACGTAGATGATGTCTTCGCGATTGTCAACAAAATAAGGGAAGCCAACTAATTATTGTCTGCAATGAACAGTTTGTATCCCAAGATTAAATTTACAATGGAACAAGAACGAGGGAACCAGCTTTCCTTCGTCGACGTTCACATAACCAGACAGAAAGGTGGCTCCATTGCATGAACTGCCTTGTATAAGAATACTTGGAAGGACAGTACCCGCATTAATTGGGTTTTGTTTCCATTCAATGGAGACGCAACTTGGCATATACTCTCTTCCAAAGAAGGAGAAAAATCTGCTCTATGGATATATTGGATGCAGAAATAGCCAGTCTCAAAGTAACTTTACTGAAATGGGGATATCTAGCACGGTTTATGCACAAGTATAGTAAACCCTTATAAAATTAGGGAACAGTTAATTCCGAAAAAGCCTGTTTTCATATCCTTGCCCTGTAAGGGTGACAACATTTTAAATGCCATCAAGAGACGCCTACTTTAAAAGGACAAACTATGCTGCTGCGATCCAAAAAAGCCCTTACCAATTCCATGTACGAAGGATGCCTTGCCGTTGCATACCACTTCGAATTGTGTTTACGAATTTACATGCACATGCGGATGCAAGTAGATAGGGCGAACGCAACGGGAATTGGCAGCCAGAGCCACTTGCCTAGTTGGCTATTGAAACAGAAAAATAGAAATCCTTGTTCTTCCATTACTTTATACTTGCTAGATAGGGGTCATTCTGTGGACCCTAAAACTTCCTTCCTAATACTTGTTCGGGCAAGAACAACTCGTAGCTTGCGCTATCTGGAGGCAGCCTATATATAGCGGTCAATACCCGATATATGTAAACAGTTGTAGCATGTGGTTAACCTAACTTTGTCTTGGTAACATCCGGCTCCCCCATTTACACAATTCCCTTTCCATCTTTCCTCTTTAACGTTTTCCTTCACTTTTTCTTTCCACATTGTTTTACCTTGCTTACTTTACTGACTAGCCTTCGTGACCAGGTCCTATCTCCGCATTGACCTTTCTGTACGAATTCAATTTTGTATTTTATTATATATTACTCACATTATGCAGCGAGAGGTATCAGCTGATGAACAGTCTCGAAGGTCATGGATCCATTAAATTCTGCTGTTTGTGCAATCTTCAAATTTGCACCTAGGAAAAGATGCTTTAAATTTCACCTCATTCGCGTAAACTCTTTGGTTACTCTTAGTTACTCTTGTCCGTTTCCTAGCTGCAGACTACCGACATCGATCAGACTGGTGACACAGACGACGTGGACTCCTGCGAAGGTCCGGTTGAGGATGAAGATGGTTCAGACGTCGAAAGGGGTGAGGAGGCAGGCGAAGAAGAGGAGGCGGAGGAAGAACAAGAAGCAGAAGAAGAAGAGGAGGAGGAGGAAGAAGAAGAGAAACACAATGAAGAGGTGACAGGTGTTGCAGACCAGATGAAGGCATTTTCCCGTGACAACTCTCCTGTGCTCGACAGGAAAACCTGCCCGCTATCGCGGATGCAAGTTCCCGAGAAAAATGAGAAGCTTCCAGGGGTGGATGAGGCGGTACCTAAGCCCCAGCCCAGCAGCGACAGTTGAGAGGAT